AACTTGTTAATGGGATGGCTGATGAACGAAGAGCAACGCCAAACTGTTGTGTCTGTGGTCGGGATGGGAGGATCGGGGAAGACTACTCTAGTTGCAAGGACTTTCAAAGATGAAATTGTAAAGAGACATTTTGAATGCTATGCGTGGATTACTGTTTCCCAGTCTTATGTGATTGAAGACTTACTTAGAAGATTGATCAAAGAATTCCATAAAGCAAAGAAGGAAGAGGTCCCTGCAGACATGAATGCCATGAGTTATAACGAATTGCTGGAGATTTTGGTGAACTACTTGGAGACTAAAAGGTACCTAGTTGTATTGGATGATGTGTGGGATGTCCACCTTTGGGAGAAAATAAGGTTTTCATTTCCAGATAAACAACTTGGAAGTCGAGTCATGCTTACAACTCGAAGAGAAGACATAGCATCCTCTTCTTTTGGAGTTGAATGCCATGTTCACAAGATTCAACCGCTGGAAAGGGGTGATGCGTGGGAGCTCTTCAGCATGAAAGCATTCTCAAGTTACCCTAACAAATCTTGTTCAACAGAAATTCTGCCATTAGCTCGGGAACTTGTGGAGAAGTGTGAAGGCCTACCTCTTGCGATCGTAGCCTTGAGTGGTCTTATGTCTTCTAAGAAGTCACTTACAGAGTGGAGCAAAATCTACAACAGCTTAAATTGGCATTTAACAAACAATCCTTTGCTAGAACCTATGAAGAGCATCTTGTTGTTTAGTTTTAATGATTTGCCATACCGACTGAAACAATGCTTTCTATATTGTTCCCTTTTCCCTGAAGATCAAGTGATCGTAAATAATAGGCTCATCACATTGTGGATTGCTGAAGGATTTGTTGAACATGTCGAAGGGCTCACGCCAGAAGAAGTTGCAAATAGCTATTTTATGGAACTCATTTTTCGTAACATGCTACAGCAAAGGTTTCGAGGACCCCGCCTAGCATGTAAGATGCATGATCTTTTGCGGGAGATTGCTCTGTCTATAGCAAAAGAAGAAAAGTTTTGCGCTGTACATGATGGGAGTGAAACAATGGAAGAAACTGGGGCACTCCGTTTGTCAATTCAAACAACTAATGGAGAAATTGGATCATGCACAGGTATATCACGGCTTCATTCGTTTTTCGTCTTTGCCACTGGTGTATCCTCATTCTCTTTCCCAAATAAATTACCTTTTGACCTTAAATTGTTGAAGGTTCTAGATTTGGAGGATGTCCCAATTGATAATCTGCCAGACAATCTAACGTCCTTATTTAATTTAAAATATTTAAATTTGAGTGGAACTTCAATTACAGAGCTTCCGGAATCCATTGGACAACTCGGCAACCTTCAGAACTTGGACATCAAGGGGACAAAAATAGAGGCACTTCCAAGAGGGATTTCCAAGTTGCTAAACTTACGCAATTTACTTACGGGCAGGTTCATTTCCGGAAATGTAATTTGTACTGGGGTAAGAATACCATCAAGTATTAGTAAGATGAAGAAATTGCAGTATTTGGGATGTACTAAATCCGAAGGAAATATCATTAGACTTATTAGAAATATGACCCAGCTTAAGGCCCTTGGCATTTCAAATGTGAAAGAAAGAGACGAGGAGGACCTATGTGCCTCAATTCAAGAGATGAAGGTCCTTTCCTACTTGAGTTTATTTGTAGCAGATGGAGAGGAATTTCTTCGAGTTGAGGTATTGTCTTCACCACCTCCCTACCTTGATACACTTGGCTTGGTCGGCAAACTAGAAAAGGTACCACATTGGTTTTGTTCACTCCACACTCTCACATATTTGTATCTGTATGGGTCTAGACTTGAAGAAGATTTTCTACCTCATATTGAAGCATTAACCTCTTTACATTTTCTTTCCCTTCATGATGCCTCTGTTAGGGAAGAGTTATGTTTCAACAGAGGCTTTGTGAAGCTTCGGTATTTGCGGTTGTAGAATTTCGCATTATTAAATAAGATAAGTATAGAAAAAGGGGCAAAGCCAAATCTCGAGTTCTTAGACATTCAAAGTTGCATGACGTTAGAAACATTGCCACAAGGTATTGAGCACCTTACTAAACTACAAGGATACAGATTTGATAATGTTTCAGAGAAGTTTAGAGAGTCCATAAAGGAAGGAGGTGTGGATCATGCAAGGATGCTACTCATCGATGAGAGATGTAAGAAATATACGTAAGTATCTTTTATCCTTTCATTGACTTTCCTAAACTTAATGATTTGGAATATTTCCAAACTTAATGATTTGGATGTAAAGCCATATAAATTGTTTGTTAATTACAATATCGCTTTTGTCTTTTTATATATTTTGCAGCATCAAGTCCTTAACGATTGAAGATTTTACCCACGAGTACAGTTTAAGCTCTTTTTGAAAATCAAATAATACCCAAGTTGATGTTCATAAAATTGCATCTGTCGCTTCAGCAATGGGCATATGTATGTCGATGATTAGCTTTTAAGATTTGGATCATGGATTCTTTTATATTCTGCGTGTTTGTACTTTCTTCTATGTATCCTAGTTTTTGGAGATATTCGTATTGTCTCTAGTATCCCAAATTTGTATCAGTTCAACATTGGTGATCACATGCTAAGAAAATAGATTTGAAATGCCATGCACACTATGGTATCAAGATCATGCAAAATGAAAACCGTATATTGTTCAAAAGTTTAAGACCAATGTGAACCATCCTTAAAATTATAGGCAACCTGAAAGGCTAGAAACCAAAACTATTCAATATCAGAAAAATGAGATAAGTCATCCAAACATACGCTGAAAGTGATTTCATCACATGCAGCAAGTCTGTCACACGCTCACTGCTGTCATCTTCAGCAATTAAACCTTCACTTCCAGCCAGTCAACTAGAGAGAGCTTGCTGTATGTGTTTTCTCCAGTGATCAAGTTGTTATAATATATACGTATCGTGATGATCCTGACAATAGTGAAACAAGAATCTATTTTAGATAAATTAATACAGGATCAGTTGTAACACATAGACAAGCATACACAGAAAAAAATGGATGACTGCAAATACTGAACTTCTTTTTCTAGTTTTCCAACTTAATGGTATAGTTATATTTCCTATCCACTATTCCCTTTCTTCAACTCTTTTCACTCCTAAAAACTGGATCATAATTCAAAAATAAAATGAATAAATATTTCACAGTTTCAGCATGGTCTTCTCATTCAGTGATCTGACGGGACTTTTTTTAAGAGAAAGGTCAAGCTTACCATAGTACTTGAAACTATGTTACTAAAGTACAACCTTACACTATAACAGCCATATAACGAGCCTACAAAATTTGGAACATACAAATGAGAAACGTTGAACTTTGATGAATCATTTCCTCGGCCCTGAAATGCGTCTTTTAAAACTTTAGAGAAGTCCAGTGGGTTATCAACTTTTTCTTTCCTGCACAAGTTCTACAAACGACTCCGGTGATCCCATGCGAATCTTTGGTAGAGCATCTCCTGATTCTGGGAGTAAATCCCTTATCTACAAGAGCATGGAAGGGATCCGCATCAAACCATCATGAGGATTCCTTACTCAAAAGCCATCAGACAAACATAAACCAGAAATCATGACAATTTACTATAGAAAAAAATAAGTACCTGTTCATTGTAGAGCTCAAAAACTGTAACAGAGAATTTAAATCTTGACGTAGAAGTTGAATCAGAGTTGGCCAAATCGAATAGTTCCTCGAAAGAACGAGCATAAAAAAGAATGTTTTCAAAGGCGAGGCATATAGGCGAGGCATTTTTAGTAGCGCTATGCGAGGCATAAGTCTTGAAGCGTTGAGGCGTAAGCCTTTTGAACATTAATTTATTTTAATAAGAAAAAGGGATTTTTGTAGAAATGTCACCTCAACTTATACATCAGTTTTAATTTGTCACCTTAAAGAAAAATTTAAGGAAAATGTCACCTTAAGTTTTCAAAATCCATGATTTGTCACCTGACTTCAACATCATCCAATTTTCCATCCATTTTGAAGGGTATTTTAGTCTTTCCAAAATGTAAACCTTTTTTTAAAATATAATTTAAATATAATGCTATGTAAACCCTCTTACTTGGAAAGACTAAAATACCCTTAAAAATGGATGTAAAATTGGATGATGTTAAAATCAGGTGACAAATCATAAATTTTGAAAACTTAAGGTGACATTTCGCTTAAATTTTTCTTTAAGATGACAAATTGAAATTGATGCATAAGTTCAGGTGACATTTCTACAAATATCCCTAAGAAAAATTTATGAATAATACAATACAATTAAATTGTACAACTAATTTTTATTGAACCATAACAATCTTTTAAATATAATTAAATATAAGTACTAATTATGATTCAAAACATAATAATCAATCCCAAAACATAAAATATGTACGTCAAATTTCTACTATATCAAATAAACGAATAAGATAACTAATATATTTTTCAAAAAATTGAAAAAAAATTATACGGAACTTCAAATTATAGTTGCGAAGAATTAGTGAGAAAAATAAAATACTTACAAGAATTAGAGAGAAAAATAAAATACTTACTTGCAGTTGAAAAATGAAGAGAACTGATCGGTTCATAATTGTATATCATTTTGTACCCTTCTAGCTTATGATTTGGTTATGTTTTTGAGTTAAACTTG